TGTGTCTTGACGTGTCCCTTGCAATATCCCTATCGTTATATATGCTGTGTGCCTTATGAAATGCTGGGATCTGGAAAATCCACCCACCGGCGGCCCCGTCGTCTCTCCAACCTTTGAATGACCGCTCTGATTGCCGTCCCGGGGGGCGGTGAGTGCAGAGAAGCCAACAGAGCAGTAAGCGCAGCAGGAGCGTGGAAGATGACAAGGAAGGTCACCTGGTGTGCAGGATCGGCGATTGGCTTCAAGAGCGATGTACAGCCACCTTTCGTAAAACTTTACCTCTACTTTTACCCCCGGGTTAGCCCAGATCTCTCGTCCTGTACTGGAGGGGTCTCTAGTGTTTTATTTACTGACCAGTAACTTGCCTGAGGCAGAGCGTAGACACTTGAGTTTTAAAGAGTGTAGCAGCGAGAGACAGTTCTTTTGTTTGCTTTGACGTTTTGTTGGTGTGAAGTGGCAGGAGCCCGGCTCTGGCCGAGCCCCACCCCGGGCTCACACCCGCTCCTGTTTTCTCTCCTAGATGAAATCGTCGGCAGCCTTGGCGAAGGCACTTTTGGAAAAGTGGTGGAGTGCGTGGACCACGCCAGGTGGGCACCTCTCCCTGCACCTGTCCCACCTGGGCTCCGTGGGACCAAGTCTGTCACCTTCCACGTGTCACCGCCTTCCTCAGAGCAAGGGGAAAGGGCCTGCCTCAAACCTCAGCCCAGAATTTCCGGGCTGGTGTGTTGAGGGAAGCAGGGGGTCGCAGAATAGAATCATGGAATATCCTCAGCTGGAAGGGACCCACATGAATCATCCAAGTGCAGCTCCTGCACGACACCCCAGCAAAATCCCACCCTGTGCATCCCCGAGAGCATTCTCCTGGAGCTCTGGCAGCCTCAGGACCGTGCCCCTTCCCTGGGGAGCCTGGGCAGCACACACCACTCTCTGGGGAAGAGCTTTTCCCTGATATCCAGCTCTTCTCTGGTACCCAGCCTGACTTTCACAGCCCCAGCCATGGAAGGTTGTGCTGCAGTGAGTTCCTGCTGAGGGGTGGCCCCTGTGACCTCCTAATCTGCCAGGGCACTTCTCCTTTCTCTCGTTTAACCTTTACATTTGGCCCCTGTGCCCTTCTGACCTCTTGTCTGGGCTCAGTTTGCTGCAGGGGAGGTGGCCCTGGAGTCACAGGGAGCTGAGGGACTGCTGTGTCCCTTGGCAGTGACCAGCAGTGGCCAGCTAGCTGCTGCCCAAGCAGCACCAATGGCTGGCAGAGCTTTGTGAGGCCAAGTGGTGCCTGCAGTAATGCCTTGTGCCTGTCCCCGTGGGCTGAGCACACAGGTTTTTTCCTCTGACTCCATCCTGTCTCCTTCCTTCCAGAGGCAAATCGCAGGTGGCGCTGAAAATCATAAAGAACGTTGGGAAATACCGAGAGGCTGCCAGGCTGGAAATCAATGTCCTGAAGAAAATCAAAGAGAAGGACAAGGAGAACAAGTTGTAAGTTCCCAGTGCCACGTCCTTGCACGCGAAGCAGCAGGGGCTGAGGATGTGGTGAGGGGGAAGTGGCCCTGTTCCTCTCCTGCCTCATCCCCTGGGAACTGGGGGAGCTCTCTCCAGAGGTGGCTGAGTGAAGCAGGAAGCATCTCCCTGGGTTGCTGTGCTCCTGAGCCAGCTGGCTGGGAGTTGTGCTTGCCAGCCACTCCTCAAGTGGCCAGGAACACGGGAATGGCTGTGCTGGGCATCCCTGGAGGGTGGTTAACCCCTGCCTGTCTCTCCCTGCGCAGCCTGTGCGTCCTGATGTCGGACTGGTTCAACTTCCACGGCCACATGTGCATTGCCTTTGAACTCCTGGGCAAGAACACGTTCGAGTTCCTCAAAGAGAACAACTTCCAGCCGTACCCCCTGCCGCAGATCCGGCACATGGCCTACCAGCTCTGCCATGCCCTGAGATGTGAGTGACCCCAAACAGGCTGGGAGGAGCTGCCCTGGCACTGGGCTGGCCAGAGGTGTGCGGGTGCTTCTCTCTGGTTCTTAGAGAGGCTGTTCTCCTCCCTGTGTGCAGTTCTCCACGACAACCAGCTGACTCACACTGACCTCAAGCCAGAAAACATCCTGTTTGTAAACTCGGATTTTGACACTCTGTACAACGAGAACAAGGTGAGGTGTGTCCCAAGGAGCTCTGGCTGCGTCAGGAATACGCTGCTTTTCCCTCCCTGCACAAATTCCCTGCTCTGTCCAGGCCTTCGCAGCCTGCAAAGTGGGAACAAACTGGAAGTCAGGCCTCTTCTTCCTGCTGTGCCTTCCAGAATCCTTAAGGCAGCCCAGAGTGTTCAGGGATTTTCTGTAACACTGCTCTGGGATGTTCAGAGCTCCACAGCTCCAGCCCAGTGAGGAGCTGCAGCCCACCACTCCAGGGGCTCCTCAGAGCTCCATCCCAGTGAGGAGCTGCAGCCCAGCACTCAGAGCTCACAGCTCCATCCCAGTGAGGAGCTGCAGCCCAGCACTCAGAGCTCACAGCTCCATCCCAGTGAGGAGCTGCAGCTCAGCACTCAGAGCTCCATCCCAGGGAGGAGCTGCAGCTCAGCACTCAGAGCTCACAGCTCCATCCCAGTGAGGAGCTGCAGCCCAGCACTCCTCAGAGCTCAGAGCTCCATCCCAGTGAGGAGCTGCAGCCCAGCACTCAGAGCTCCATCCCAGTGAGGAGCTGCAGCCCAGCACTCAGAGCTCCATCCCAGTGAGGAGCTGCAGCTCAGCACTCAGAGCTCAGAGCTCCATCCCAGTGAGGAGCTGCAGCCCAGCACTCAGAGCTCCATCCCAGTGAGGAGCTGCAGCTCAGCACTCAGAGCTCCATCCCAGTGAGGAGCTGCAGCCCAGCACTCCAGGGCTCCTCTCCCAGCCTGGCCCTGTGCTTTTCCTGCAGAGCTGTGAGCAGAAATCCATCCGGAACACGAGCATCCGTGTGGCCGACTTCGGCAGCGCCACCTTTGACCACGAGCACCACACCACCATCGTGGCCACCCGGCATTACCGGCCCCCTGAAGTGATTCTGGGTGAGAACTGCACGTTTTGGGGAGTCTCAGGGTGGGGCACAAGTGGAGCAGCTGCCCCAGGGTGATGGTGGCTAGAGAAAAACCTGCTTGGGAGCACTCCAGCTCTTGGACAGATAATTTCTAGCTCTGAGTGGAATCCCTGTGGTTTCAACAGGGAGAAATGTGTTGGGGTTTGTTGGGAGCACGGAGTTAATTTGGTTTTCTTTGCAGAGCTGGGCTGGGCACAGCCATGTGATGTCTGGAGCACTGGCTGCATTCTGTTTGAGTATTACCGTGGCTTCACACTCTTCCAGGTAGGATTCTTGTTCCCTGAGAGCCTTTCATGTCCAAAAGGGCCCAGAATGGGAGGGAAACACATATCAGGCACTAAGAATGAGAAGCTGAGTGTGAAAATGAGCCCTGGAAAAGGGCTGGTTTGAGGAGTGCCTTGCTGGAAGGACAGAGTCCAGATCACTTCTGGGTTGTTTCTATTCTCTGAAGAAAGGGAAAAGTAAAACATGAAAAGTTGGATAGGAGCTGGTGGAATCCTTTCTCCCCTGTCCCTGCAGAGCTGACAAACCTTTTGTTATCAGCTCCCCAAGCTCTGACTAACCCACTGCTGCTCTGCTCCTTGCAGACCCACGAGAACCGTGAGCATCTTGTCATGATGGAAAAAATCCTGGGGCCACTGCCGTCTCACATGGTCCACAAAACTCGGTAAGAGCCTGGTCCCGAGCTCAGCCCAGGCACCGTCACTGGGATGGGAGGGAGAGATCCTGCCTGATCCCCACCTTTCTGCAGGAAGCAGAAATACTTCCACAATGGTAACCTGGTGTGGGATGAGAACACGTCCGATGGCAGATACGTCCAGGAGAACTGCAAGCCCCTACGGGTAGGTGCTGCTCCCTTCCCTGGGGTCTGGGGCTCAGGAATGGGAATTCCCATTGTAACTGCTTGCCAGGGAGCCCCAGCTCTCATCTGCAGTGATCCCGGTCTGCTTAGGCAGCCCTGGGCGATGCTGTATTTGGGATGGGAAGCAGTTCTGGGGGATGCTGTATTTGGGATGGGAAGCAGTGCTGGGGGATGCTGTATTTGGGATGGGAAGCAGTGCTGGGGGATGCTGTATTTGGGATGGGAAGCAGTGCTGGGGGATGCTGTATTTGGGATGGGAAGCAGTGCTGGGGGATGCTGTATTTGGGATGGGAAGCAGTGCTGGGGGATGCTGTATTTGGGATGGGAAGCAGTTCTGGGGGATGCTGTATTTGGGATAGGAGGCTGCCCTGACCCAGGGTTCCTGAGTTCCTATAGATCTCAGGGCAGTGGCTGTGCTGTAGTTGGGACAGGAGGCAAGCCTGGGGCTGGCTCCGTGTCCCCTGGCTGAGTGTCCCCTGTCCCTTCCAGACGTACATGCTGCACGACTCGCTGGAGCACGCGCAGCTCTTTGACCTGATGAGGAGGATGCTGGAATTCGACCCCTCGCAGCGGATCACGTTCTCAGAGGCCCTCCTGCACCCCTTCTTTGCTGGGCTCTCGGCAGAGGAGCGGATGCTGTGCGGGCGCGGCGCCAGCCGGGACTTGAGCAGATGACGGCCGGGATCCCTCGGGATGGATCCCTCGGGATGGAGCCCTGAGTCCGCTGCAGCTCGGCCCCGCTCTCCTCCCCGAGTCCGCAGGGGCTGGGGCACTGCCACAAGGACCCTGGGGAGGGGAAGGAAAGCTCCATTGGAAAGCACAGATTTGTCTATTTATATGTTGTAAAGTTAAAATAAAGTGTTTCTTATTGTTTGATACTTCCCTCGTAGGCGGGTGTAGGGGTGCCTTGGCCCAGCTTCGCCTCTTCTGCAAAGAGGGAAATGGTGAAAATTCACCTGGAATCAGGGAGGGGGAGTGGGCCGGTGCCTGCCCTGGCAGCAGGAAGGTTCTAGAAGGAGAGCAGACAAACGAGCAGCTGCACACAGTAGCACACACATAGAGAGTTGCACTTTATTTCAGGGCATTGTCCCCCGCAGTGGCAGGAATTGGTCGTTACAAACATCAGGTCACAAATGGGGTCACCAAGCAGTGCCACAGCGCAGCGATTGTCACCTGTCACCACAGCGGGCCCGGAGCAGCGCCCGGGGGCAGCTCCCGTGCTGCTGCTGGGGCAGGTGGGGGTAGGAGCAAGCCCAAACACAGCTACAACAGTGCTCCCTTCTCAGAATGAACTCTGGCACCGTGGGGGCCGGCCACAAAAACACCCAGACCTTGTTCTGGGTCTCTGAGTGCTCCAGAACTGAGACCTCCCCTTCCAGGTATGTGAAGCCAGGAAACACCTGCCTGTGCAGGGAAGTACAGCCAAATACCCAAATTCAGCAGCCAGTGAGCACAGCCCCACTGCCTGCCATGCCCTGAACCCTGCACGGATTTGGGGTCAGGAATCCCGTTCCTTACAGCAGGGGCTGAACCCTCCTCTTTGTGCAACACTCTTCACTTTATTTTTCAGTTCAACCTGGGGAACCGTTTCAAGGCTGGCAACAACCAGGGCCTCGGTGCTTCCCAGAGCTCCATCCTTGCAAAAGCACCAGCACCTGCTCCAGTGCCTTCCAGGCAGGGCAGCTGCAACCCTGGACTCTCCCTGCTCCTGCTCCGTGTGTACAAGCTACAGTTCCAACAGCCAAACCCAGAAAGGGCAGGAAAAACCTGCAGAAAGCAGAAATTGAAACAGCAAGTCTCCTACTGAGTGTCTTGAGCAAAGAGAGTGAAAATAAGGGGACTAAAGCTAACACCGACTACAGCAACAACCTTTTTAACCCGCTGCTGCTCCCGGGTAAAGATCCGAGGAAACAGCCGAAGAACCAAAACAGGCAGAGGGAAACTTTGTGTTTGTGTTGTGAATACCACCACACTGCTGTCCTATGCCACTCAGAACCACAGCCTGGTCGGTGCTGCCGCAGCAGCTGGCCCCAAGACGGAGGGCAGAGCCCCCCAGGCCGGCAGTGCCGAGTGTCCGAGAGCAGCTGAGGGAGCCAGGGCTGCAGCCAGCCAGGGCACAGCCCCTGCTCCTGCTGAGGTAGATACGGCAACGTGCAGGGGGACAGGCTGAGCCCGCTGCTCTGCAGCCTCCTGGGCCCTTCCCGGCGCTCCACGCTCCCAGGCTAGACCCAGTAATTGCTTCTTTCCAAGAGGGAAGGCTCTTCCCTCCTCCTTTGATAGCCCTGGCCTTTGTTCTGACAGAGGAAAGGAAAGAGGAGTGCCTGACTAAAGCTCCAGCTCGGGGCACAAGTGGGGCTGGGGATTGGGACTGGAGCCACCCCAGACTGGTCCCTGTGCTTCAGCCTCCCAAGGGGTGCAGCTCCCCTGGCCAGAGGCAGCACCTGGAGCTCTCCCCGATGCCAGAGCGGGGCTGTGCGAGCTGTAGGAGCCTGCGGGAGCCCTGGGGACGGGTGAAGTGTGAGCTCCCATCACTGCTCACATTCCCAGCTCCTCCTGAGGAGCAGCTCGGCCTGGCAGCACCTCCTGGTGCTCGGCTCCGGGGGCACACGGAACCAGCACGGTGGGTGCCCAAGCTGATTGCCAAAGCCAGCTAGCTGGTGCTTCCTCAGCTTGTGCCTGTTCCGGGCACTGCACCCAGGCCGACAGAAAGAACACGGGAAAGGATCATCCAACGTTTCTGGCCAGGCACGGGACAGCAGCCCGAGGCCAGAGCGGGTTTCTGATGGAAATCCTTCCCAGCACCTCTGCCACAGCCCTCCAGGAGCACAGCGGCTCCCAGCACGCCCTCTCCTGCCAAAAACCAGGAGCTCCCACCCCATCCACAGGCTTTGATTCCAAAGGGAATGAACAGATCTGTCAGCCACTTCCCAAACCATACCAAATGTAGCAGGGGAGGACAGGGGAGCTTACCCCAAACACCACCCGCACCACGCCGCACCCAGAGCAACCCTGCTGCCCTGGCCCTGCAGCAGCACAGAGAAAGAACAAAAGAACACAACCCCAAACCCCATGAGGATCCTGGAAAAGTTCTTTTCCATACCAGGCCTCCACCCCACAGAGCTGGGCTTTGGCCACGAAGCGAACAAAGAGAAGCCAACAGTACAAAAGCAGTAAGGCCTAGCTGAGGAAGGACAGCAGTGTTCCCAGAGCATGTGCGAGCCTCTGGCTCCTGACACAAGCTTTCCAAACAGGGAACCCACTCCGTGAGGGCATGGGAAGGAGAGGCAGCTACAACTCACTTCCAGAACACAAAACAGGGATGGGGCAGTCAAAAACAAAACGGGAACCAAACGAGATTTTCCCTCGACACAAGGGATTTCTACACAATCGAGGGGGGCTGTTCCCAGCATGTCCCTGCTGGCAATATCCAACCAGAAGGACCAGAAACACGTCTCAAAGCTCCAAACCACCCTTATTTGTACCACATGCCAGCCAGGGCTGGGCAGCAGCAGGGGACAGACACCATGGTCCTGCACGCTCCTTCATCCCTTGGCACAAGAGAACGAAAACGGCTTTGCAGAAACGATTCGCTTCCTCCTCCTCCTCCTCCTTTTCTTTTTTTTTGTTTGGGTTTTTTTTGTGGGTTTTTTTTTTTCCATTTCATTTTACGATTATTCAATTTTTTTTCTTTTTAAATACACAACGTTTCTTCCAGAAGGCAAACCCTCCAGAACTTCACATCCTTTTTTTTAAGGCGTCACCAGAGTCGACCGGCCGGGATCCAGCACACAGCTTTTGCTTTTCACAGAGCTCCTCCTCTCTCCCTTCAGAGCCAGGGGCTGCACCAGCTCTAAGTGGAGTGCAGGGGGATGACGAATTTGCAGCCGAAGGGTGAGTGGTAGTTGATGCCCACCTCCTGAAAGACCTTCTGGGGAATGCCAATGTCACAGAGGTAGACGCGGCCCGCGCGCTCGCCCAGCGGCAGCGGCAGCCCCAGGGCCAGCGACCACTTGGCGTCGATGCCCAGCTCCATCTCGCTGATGGGGGGGTCTATGCTCAGCACGGGGGCCCGGTTCTGGTTGGCCCAGTCCACCACTGCTTTGTACCAAGGCTGGTCTCTCAGAAAGGCATTTTCGTGACAATCCAGGCAGTTGATCACTAAGTCAACCGGAGTGTCTGGGAGGTCTGCAAGAAACACAGAACCAGCTGCAGCACGGGCAGATTTGGGGCTTGGCCTCCACTCTTGCTGCACCTGCTGTCACAGAGCCATCCTGAACAGCCCCTCAGCACTCTGGGGACACCCCCAGCCTCACAGGTACAAACCCTCACCCAGTGACCAGCACGTGAGCCGCCCCAGTGCTGCTGAGCTCACCATCCAGGCAGCCCAGGGGAGCAGCAGTGGGGCGCTCTGTCCATCAGAAAGGACCATTTTCTATTCCACAAGGTGAAAATAAGGCTGGTTTTTGGAACACACCAACTGTGCTGCACTGCTGCCTGCCCCATCGAGCTCTGTCACTCTCACCTGCTGGATCACAAAGTCCTTGGTGCAAAAACATGGAATGGTTTGGCTTGGAAGGGACATTAAAGTTCATCTCATCCCACCCCCTGCCTGCCAAGGGCAGCGACACCTTGCACCGTCCCAGGCTGCTCCAAACCCCATCCAGCCTGGCCTTGGACACTTCCAGGGGCAGCCAGAGCTGCTCTGGGCAGCCTGTGCCAGCCTTTTACAATGTTTTAGAATAGACAAGTAGCTCTGTCAGCACAGCACAGCCCAAACTCCCAGCTTTGTTTCCCCCCAGAAGTTCAAATGCAGCAGCTTGGAAAACGACTGGTGAAGTGCCAAGCAGAAGCCAGCACTCTCCCAGGAGCTGTTTATTCCAGGGAATACCGAGAGGGGAATCCTGACAGCTGCTGGAAGTGGCTCAGCAGAGCTGGCTCCTGCTCCAGCAGCAGCTGGACACTCATTCCCACCCAGCTCCAACACGCTGAACAAGGCAGCCCCTTCTCCTACCAGAGCAGCTCCATACGGCAGCTCTTCCCACCGGAAACATCTGTGGCAGCACAAGCGCTCCTCTGTGGAGGCTCGGAGTGCCTGCTGTCCCTGCAGCTGCTGGCAGCCACCCAGGCGTGCCAGTGCCACTAGATGGTGCCAGGGCAGCGGGCAGAAGCCAGCCCTGCTCCCCGCAGAAGCCAGGCTGCTCACCTTTGACGCTGGACACCTGCTGGCCTTGTGTCTTGCTGAAAAGGTTCAGCTCGTTGGTGATGGATTCCAGCATCTTGACGAAGTTGGGGAGGAAGAGGATGACGTGGACGTCGTGGTTGGAGAGGTGGCGGCCGCAGCTGATGCCCTGGGCTCCCTTCACATGGGGGCCGCAGAGCAGCGCCACCGTGGGCCGCTGGTGCACGTTCTTGGGGTTCAGCCTGAAACAGAGGCAGGAAAACAAAGGGACTGTGAGTAAAGGCCAAAGTCTCTTACCTTCTTCCTGCAGGAGAAAACCAAACTTAAAAAAAAAAAAAACAACAAAAAAACCCCACAACAATCAGTAAGATGCAAATTGCCAGGTGTTCTGCAAATCTGCCATCGCTCTCAAGAAGGAACCCACATCCTTTAGTGGTGCTGATGCTGCTCCGCTTGCAGGTTCAGAGAATCTCAGACTTGTTTGGGTGGAAGGCAGCCTGAAGGTCACCCATGTGGCCAGGGACACCTTCCACTGTCCCACGCTGCTCCAAGTTCTGTCCGATCTGGCTTTGGACACTCCCAGGGATGGGGCAGCCACAGCTGCTCTGAGGACCCTGTGCCAGGGACTCTGCATCTCCACAGGGAAGAATTTCTTCCACATATTTAACCTAAATTTCCCCCCTTTAAGCTGCTGATGACGAATCCCTCTCTGGTTTCCTTGTAGGCCCCTTCAGATACTTGAAGATTGTTCCAGCCTTCTCTTCCCCTTCCCTTCAGGATTTCTCTGTATCCACAGCTCAGAGCACAAGGTCCCAAGGATTGTAGAAGAAAGCTAAAAATTTGAGGTAAGTTTCCCCATCAGAGGAGTCACAATTAAAAAAGAAAGATGATCTCTACTCCCTAAGCTTCATCAACTGCACAACGAAATTCATTTGGAAGCCATCAGGGCTTGCAGCAGGAATTTCAGCTGCCTGTGCGTCATCCCTTAGTGCTCCCCATCAAGTGATCAGGTCCTGCTAAAGCTCCTGAATAAGCAGTGGAGACTGAAGGGAATGAACCTTTTGTTTGGAGAGCAAATATCAAATATCAAAAATCAGGAGCAGCTATCAACAGCACAAAGGTGCAGGTGCAGTTCCTGCTCCCCCACCAACAGCCACGGAAGCAGAGCTCTTCAGAGTCAGCAAAAGGCACTGAGTGCATTCCAAAGAGCCCTCCCAAAGAGCAGGATGTGCTCAGGTGAGCTGCAGATGCCTGAAAAGCTGAGTTAGCCTGGCAAAAATCCGTGAAGTGCCATTTTTGTGCGCTGCCTTTCTGCTTTTATTGACGCTGTGAAATTGTAATGGGCCACAACAGCAAAGGAAAGGTTCTTTTCTGTGCAGAAAGGAGCTCGTGGCATATTCTGCTCCAACCACCTCAGGCAGCACCAGTGCAAAGCTCAGCTCTCCGAGCAACTCCCAGGAAAGGGGAAGGAAAAGCTCAGCTCTGCGAGTCAAGAGCCAAAAGGAAGCCCCTCGGCAGCAGCGAGCTGAGAGGGCTCTGCCAGCCCCCTGCCACCCCCCAGAGGCACCAGCTGTACCTGTTGGGCCCCCCCAGGAGGCTCAGGGCCATCTGGCTGGCACACACCCCTGTCATCTCCAGCCTCCTCTCCAGGGTCAGCCCGTGCTTCTCGGCCACCGCCAGCAGCTTCTTGTGCAGCTCGTAGGACACGCTGGGGACCACCAGCCCCGAGTCTAGGGGTCAGAAACAGGGGAGGGAGGCACAAACGGGGACAGTCAGACACCTCCAAACAGTGGCAGTGAAAAGACTCGTTAGCTGTTCACCCACGCTCCTTCCCAGGCCGCCAAATGAATCCAAATTATTTTTCAGTGAAGCAGAGACAGCTAAACCCAACTGCTGGCTTAAAATAGCAGTGCCACAAAAGTTCTGTGAGAAATTTTAGTAACACGAGGGCTGAGAAGGCCTTTGGAATTTACAGATGGAATATTAAGGCTTTTCTTAATGGTCTCCAGGCCAACAGTGCTTTAAGCCATCATAAAGCGCTGCTGAACACTGTGAAAATAAGAAGAGCAGTTGGGAAGTGCCAAAAAAAGCCAGGATGTTTTATGCTTCCTGCCACTGGTCCCCAGAATCCCACAGATCGCAGCAAAACAAGCCATCCCCCATTTGCTGGTAGGTGTTCCCATGGCAGAAGGGCTGCTCCAGACACAACAGCTGGAAGCAGCAGGGAAATGCTCCAAGAATAAACTCTGCAGAAAAACACCTCCCAGGTGGACTGGGCTAGCGAGCTGGGAAATGCTCCAGCATTTGGATCAAGAGAAAAGAAACAAGGGAGGGTTTGTCAAGTGCTGAGAACTGCCCAGCCTGGCCTTGGACATTTCCAGGGATCCAGGGACTGCCACAGCTTCTCTGGACAACCTGTGCCACCCCTTTATGGGATGGCCACAGAGCTGGAGCACAGCTGCAGCAGGAGGAGCTCCCAGCTCCTTCTCTTCCCAGGAACCCCAGCTGAGTCCAGCAGCTCCCACCCTGAGACAGGCAAAGGAGGTGCACAGGAGTCAGGCACCATGGAGCAAAAAGCTGAAAGATTAAAAGCAGGAAACATCAGGTCAGAAAGTCCAAACTCAGTCCCTCCATCGACATCTCTCAGCTTCCCCAGTGCTCAGAAGCCCTGGGTCACCCTCACGCTCCCCCTGGCCCCTCTGCCCTGAACTAGGGGTGACAGTGGGCCCCTGGGTGCTCCTGGCAGCCCAGCTGGGCTGGGGTTGCCTGTGCTGCTGGGAAAGAGCCGCGGGAATGTGAGAGGGCCGGTGGGAACGCTCCGAGGGGCACAGGCAGTGCTCATGCATCTGCCCCGGCAGGAAACCCAGCCATTCCTCGTGGGCCTGGGCTCCTCTGCACACAGCAAATGCAATGAGAACCAGTTCTCTCACAGCCAAGGGCCACCTGCAAATGAGAAGAGCGGCGTGGATTTGAGCTGTGAGGAATCATTTGCTCAGCTATATTTCCCCAGGGTGCCCCAGTCACCAACCACCAAGTCAAGCTCTGGCAGAAATGGAAGGTTTTGCACATCCTGGGGTTTTCAGCGTCGGCCCAGAGCTGTCCCTGCAGGGGCACAGCAAAATGCAGCAGAGCAGACACTGCTGAGTCCTCCTGGATTTCATTCCTGGCCTCACCAGCCAGGTATTTGCAGTCAGAGAGGGCCTGATGAGGTCACCTCCGCTCCCAGGCTGCGGGGCCAGGCCGGCAGCCGTGTTATCAGCCATGCCAGACTGCTGATAACAGCCTGAGCGCTGCTGGAGTCCCAGCAGGAATAACCCTGGGCCTGTCCCAGCGGCCACGCACCTGCCCCGTGCCCCAGCCACGCACCTGCCCCGTGCCCCAGCCCTGCCCTGTGCCCCAGCCCTGCCCCG